TTCTCTAAATAAAAATATTATCTTATATTCACTCCAAATTTATTAAAAAAAATCTCTATTTTAAAATTTGAGTGATTACCTTTTATTGATAAACACTCATAATCATCAAAAATATATCGTGATTGGATTATGATAAATTTCATTTTTTTAAATTTTTTTTATATTGCTACATATATATATATATTATATTAATATTAATGGTATTTATTGTTCTGTCAATAGTGCTGTTTGTTTGATATATCATTTTTTCGAGTTGTTTAGTTGAGCTTTTAACCATGTTTTAGTATGATTCTATTTTATTCTTCCATGATTAAATTTATGCATTCCAATGATTTTAATAGAGATGATAGATTAATATGATTCAATCTATTTTAATTTTGTTGTACTTTCTTCATATTCAAAACATTTAACGATTATTATTAATTTAAAAAAACACATTAATTTAAACATTACTCGTAAAATTATAGTATATAAAGTAATATATATATATATATATATATATATATTATTAATTGATTTATTTACTATACAATGCCATATACTTAAAAGGAAAAAGGAAAGAAAAGAAAATTCCTTAGGATTATTTTAATTTTAAAGAATTTATATTTATTCATGTGCAAACTTTAGCGACGCATTACAATATAATAACAATGACACCACAAAAGAAAAAAAGAAAAAGAGAAATAAAAAGAATAATGGTTTCTAATTTCTAATAATTGGATGATGTGAGAGAAAAAAAGATTGAATTGAATTAAAGAGGCAAGTACGCATCTTTTGACCATATATATAAAAGGAAAAAAAAAAGAGAAATAAAAAGAATAATATGTTTATAATTTTTAATAATTGGATGATGCAAAAAAAAAAGTGAGGAATTGAGAAGGCAAGAAGGCATCTTTTGACCATATATATGCATATATTGAAAAAATAATTTTATAATTATCATTTAGATGATGTTAAATATTTCATTTTTTTATTTTATTTAACATGTCAAATATTATTTAAATATTGATTGTGAAATTATCTTGTCTATTGACACTATATCAAATAATAACCAAAGTAACATTTTACGTCAAGAAGTACAAACTTAAGAAATTATATTAGAAATTTAGAGGGTGTAAAATTATAAATTTTCAAAGAATGTGAAATTAGATTATGAATAGAAAAAATGAATATATAATATATAAATTATACGAGAATTCAAAATTCCAAAAATATATGATCATACTCATCCAATAATCTTAAATTTATGTAAAATTAAATAGTTTTACATGGTGTAAGTAGATCCTAACCCATATATATATATATATATATATATATATATATATATGTGTTAAGAAACTGCAAAGCAGAGCTTGAAGTTAAATAAATCAACAAGCCATGCCCAATTAACCTGTCATAAAGATTCTCCCAAACTGCAATCCAATAAGTTGACAGCCACAAGCATCCTTCTTTTTCTTTAATTTTTTTAACTTTATAAATTATATATGTATAGAAAATTCTGTCCCTACTTTTTCCATATTTAATTTCCTTATGAATTTTTTATTTAAAATTTAAACCAAAAAATGTTTAACACATCTTATACCATATAATTTAGGTTAAGTATGAATATTTGAATGACTCGAGTTAACAAGTCTTATTCTATAATTCAAATTTTATTTAAAAAAAATTCAATTCGAATCAAGTCAAATTGTTCGAGTTTTTCTTTAAATTTAATTGTACTTTTATAATGTTATGGTACATATTAGTTTCCATTTAAACGACTTTCTCTAACCATATAATATATACATATTTATTTCTTCATATTATTTTTCACATGTGTAAGTAAGATTTATAATATTATTTAATAAATCAAATTATTTATGAAATTATAAAATATATTTATAATGTTATTTTTAAATAAGAGATTTTTAGAATAAGTTATTGATGGGAGTACAAAGGAGTCAAAAGGAATTAATGAGAAGAAATAATTTATTAAAAAAAAGAAAGTTAATCAAATAACCACACTGAACAAAATGAGACTAAATTGCAAAAAAGAAATGTTAATAATAGGAGTTGAGCTCAATATCCAACATGAAAATTCAAATAAACTCGAAATTATACCTAATACTATAAAATGATTTGTTAATTCACGATTATTAAATTAAACTTGTGTTCAAATCAATTTTTTTAGTTGAATCAAATTTTACTCATCCTAATTTAAATCAAATACATATAGAAATAATTTTTTTAATTCATGATTATTAAATTGAACTTGTGTGAATAAGGGGATAATTTTTTTTATGAAATTTTGTCTTAATTATTATTTTGCAATTCTAATCCCTAGAAGGAGTAGGACATTCCAACAAATAGAAGAATATGGGAGTTTTTAAAATCAATTTAAACCCAATACATATATGAGAAATTTTTGCATGTCCTAAATATTTAATTTATTTATAGTGAATTTAAAGTATTCTGACACTAATTTATTTGAAAAATTATAGAAATTCTAATTTAAAAGATATATATATATATATATATTATTTGCTTTTATTAAAAAAGGGGGGAAACCCTGTTTATGTTTACCATCCATTAATACTTTTCCATCCCGTAGTGGGTGTTCATATATTTATAGTAAAAGGCAACAAAAAGTAGAAAAATAAAACAAGTTGAAACATAATTCTTATTTTATTTACCTTTTAGGGTTAAAAGTGCATTAGGGTTTGTTTCAAACAGGAAAATGCTAAGAGGATGAAAGACCACCAAATGGAACAAAAAGAGTAAAAGACAAAAGGAGTGACTGCAAGTGGGTAATATATCATGCTGATGTGGTAAAATATTTATTTATCTTTTTTAAATTCAGATCTTTATCGAGTTATTTGATTTTTTTATTAGTCTAGATTGATTATAAGATAATATTTGTTTGAAATATTTTCAATTTTTTGTCGATAACGCTCAAACATCCCTATAAACATTGTGCTCAAATCTAATACCTTTAGAGATAACAATAATTCTTTTAACCACCAAGATCATTTAGTTCGTACAGTTATTTAAGGTTTTTTTAAATTCATCAAGTTTTATAATTTGACAACTTTATTCAATAAGTACAAGGTTATTTGAAAAGGAAATCAAATTCATGAATGTTGCCTGTGTTTTAAGATAATGATATATTTTCATCAATTAAAGCACTTTTCTACTAATAAAAGCAACCAAGAAAATGGTTAATAAACATTTAAGTTAAACAAGAAAAAAATTATCTTATATTTTCAAGCTAAAATCATCAACAACTTTAAAAAGAAGTAAATTTTAGGTACAATTTTATGTTGAAAAAGAAAGCCTTCTCAAACTAAAATAAACTCTATTCAACAAAAAAATTAAATAATTGCTATACCTAAAATTTTTGTGGTGTGACACATTTGTTGAATCGGTCTGAGGGTTTTTACATCTACCATAGATCCTGACATGATACATACTGGCGTAGCCAGCCTACTACGAGTGGTGTCATATGACATCACAATAATTTTTAAAAAATATTTTATATAAAATTAATATAAAGATATTTTAAAAAAATAAACATATTTTTAAAAGAATAATATAAAGATCATGGGTTCGAACATTGTCGTTTGCGAATTGAGCAAACTGGGATGGGAGGGTCGTCCGCGCCCTGCAGTACTCGATATAGATTAATCGATCAATAGATCGGATACTAGTGATTAATTCAAAAGAATATTAGTACCTTTAAACCTAAATTGACACCAATTATTCATTTTTATCAACTTAAAAAAAAAATTCTTCATACATATTCTAAATTTAACACCCTAAAATAATTTATTTTCTTTATAAATTTGACACTTTAAAATAAATTTTCTGACTTCATCCCTGATGATACATGAATAAATTTCTCGTGATATGATACAATTTAATTAAATTATAATTTATATGTTCGTAAAATTATATATGCGTAACTAATAGTTTAGGGTATGGTATACTTTTATGAAATTCTTTTGAATTTGTCGTTAACATAATAAAATTTCTTGTCTTTGCCTATGTTTTTCCTGTTTAAGATTTTACACATAAATATATGTTCTTCTTTGTAATCTTCTTTGTTTGTTTAGGATACAAATTTTATATATATATATAGTCATGCTCCTTATATTTATAATGAATTATTATACTTTTATTTATGGTAATAAATAAAATCAATACATGTTAAATATTGTCTCTTATATATATTTTATTTTATATTAATATCGGATTATTTATTTTCTACAAATAAATTATTTACAAAAATATTTTAAATAAAATTCTATATTTAAATTATATCTAGATGAATTTTTCAATTTATATTATGAACAATTATTTGATAGATTTTTCTCTCTGAACAAGCGATTTTTTATTATTATTTTGAATTGAAAGAAGCTTAAAACAGATATAAGCGATTTTAATCTGCTACCATTTAATTAATTAATTAAAATATTAATTAAGTACGTATGATCGTAAATTAAAGATTGGAGGAGAATAATTTTCTGACTCGATATTAAAGAAATGGGTAAACTATGTATTTAGTCATTGAACTATTCATTTAGTTCTTTTTTCTCATTTAACTATTGTCTTTTTTAAAATCAAACCTAATATTATATTTGGATTTCATTTTGGTCACCCGTTGTTAAAAAATTAACAGAACTATTGACATGATGATTTTTAGTTTTTTCAATGATAGTGTAACATTATCTTATGGACACATAAACATCATTATTAATTTTTTAACAGTGAGTGGCCAAAATAAAACCAAAATGTAACATCAAATATTATTTAATTTTTTTGTCGAGTGACCAAAATAGAATTATACAAATAGTTGAGTGACTAAATAAGTAGTTTACCCTAAACCAATTGAGAAATTAATTATTATAATTTTAAGAAAACTAATAAAAAATATAAGATAAAGAGAAACGCCTTGTGTTATATCAACATATATACCCCCATCCTTCTTCAACCTCTGCTCATTTCTCATAAAAAATAAACAAGCAAAAGCATAGCTTATTTCATCAGCTTCTTGCTAACTAATCCATGGCCAAAGAAGGAGAGCACAGCACGTTCCATGCAAAGGACTACGTCGACCCTCCACCGGCGCCGTTGTTCGATGCATCGGAGCTCAAGAAATGGTCATTTTACAGGGCACTGATAGCCGAGTTCATCGCAACTTTGCTCTTCCTTTACATCACGGTCTTGACCGTGATCGGATACAAGAGCCAAGCCGATACCAGCACCGACTCGTGTGCCGGTGTCGGTATTCTTGGTATCGCTTGGGCCTTCGGTGGCATGATCTTCGTCCTCGTTTACTGCACTGCTGGGATTTCCGGTAGTACTTGATTTTTGAGTTTCCCATGTGTTTTTATAAATGTCTCTATTGATTTTTGTTTTGTTTTCTTGGGGTGCAAACAACAGGTGGTCACATTAATCCGGCGGTGACATTTGGTCTGTTATTGGCTCGCAAGGTCTCGTTGGTTCGAGCCATTGCTTACATGGTGGCTCAGTCTTTGGGAGCCATTTGTGGGGTTGGTTTGGTTAAGGCTTTCCAGTCATCGTACTACAACAGGTATGCAGTGGCAAGTGTATTCTAAAATTCGAATTTTTTTATATTAAATATTTGTTTTATTGATGGTATTATCTCTTCTAAAATTTTATTTGTTTTTTTTCGTACAAAATTTTTTATTATCAATATTTATATGCTCACTCTTGAAAATATTTATGAATTTGTGAATACAGATACGGAGGTGGAGCCAACACTCTTGCTGATGGGTACAGTTCCGGAACTGGTTTGGGCGCTGAAATTATTGGAACCTTTGTTTTGGTTTACACTGTTTTCTCTGCTACTGATCCCAAGAGGAAGGCTCGAGACTCCCATGTCCCTGTAAGTTCCATTCGCCACCTTCTTCTAGGTCATAATTAGTCGAGTTACTTCAGGTTAGATCAAGTCGTTTGGAGTTAAAAAAGTTCAGCAGTTTAAATTCTAGTTTTGATGTATAATGCATTCTTCAATTAAATGAAACTTTTAACATATTTAAATCATATATATTTTATATTTTTAAAATTAATAAATAAAAATATGCATAATAATATTTACATTATTGAAAAAAAATATTCGATTTAAGATCCATAGATGATAAGGATGTGAATGAGATTTTTTACCAAGTATCAGATGAAGAAACATGCACTGTGAGATTAACTGGATCATCGCTGTGTATACCATTATAAAGAGATCAAAAGCAAATTTGGGTAAAGTATAGCGAAGATTAGGGATGTTTAAAAATATTCGATTTGTGATATTTAATTTTCTAATCTGAATAAAAATTATAATTTTTTTTACCTAAATCTCTAAAATTTTATATTTGTATTATGTAATTTCGACTTTTAAATTTTTCATTGTTGAGTTTTCAAAAGTTAAAATTGATTGATATATAAAAAATTAAAATTGGTACCGGGTGCCCTCTTACATGAACTAACGGGTATTCGAGTTTTATGGGTCAAGACACAAACCGACTACTTTAGTACTAAAAATATCGAGTATCTGACACTTTTGAGTACCCGAACCTGCGGGTATACGGTAATGAGCATCCCTATCAATGATTACTAAACTATACTTGAATGATTATTTCGGTCATTAAATTTTTAAAAGTTAAAAAATGATCTTTATCTTTTTTAGAATTATTACAAAATGATCACTGAAATGTTGTAATAATTGTAAAATTTTGATAAATTTAATTACCATTTCATAACAATTTGATAAAATTTAAATATAATTTTATAACAGTTGATAAATTTAATGAATACTTTATCTTTTTAAAAGTTCAGTGACTAAAACGATAATTTGAACATAGTTCAATGACCTCTGGTATACTCTACCCAAATTAAAAAACGTCTTTCTTGGTAATCAACAATATAGGAAAATATGAGTTTTGTTAATTGTGTTTGAAGGTATTGGCTCCACTTCCCATTGGATTTACCGTATTCATGGTTCACTTGGCTACCATCCCAATCACTGGCACTGGCATCAACCCTGCTAGGAGCATTGGAGCTGCTGTTATCTTCAATAACGACAAGGCTTGGGATGATCATGTTAGTATTCTTCTCCACAATCTCCACATCTAAAAAAATTGGGTCGAAGTTCGAATGGTTAAATATTCATATGTAGAGTAACTAGCAAACCCACCATATATTCTACTAAGTGGCGGATCCACCTTGAAATCCTATTTTTCAACGATTAATTATTTATTTTATTTATGGTATATATCCTGAAATATTACTTGTGCTCATGCCGTATAAAAAAATTGTATTGTTAATATATGTATGTTTATCTTTAAAAATATTTTTGGATCTGTCACTTATTTTACTATTTTTTCAGTGGATCTTCTGGGTTGGACCCATGGTTGGAGCAGCCATTGCAGCATTCTACCACCAATTCATCTTGAGAGCAGGAGCTGTCAAGGCACTTGGCTCATTCAGAAGCCAAACCCATGTTTGATTTCATGCACCGAAACCATATATAATTTAGTAGGGAAAATGTGGAGAATAATGTGGGAATTAGGGTTTATGGTTTGTGTATGTTCAAGTGTCCTTTCAAAGGGCCCCTCCCTTTCTTCTTCAACATTTCCTTTGGGTGAAGTTGAAAAAGAAACCTAAGGGTATAATGAAAATGTAGATAAACTACTCTTTTGAGAAGTGTGGGGTGGGAGGGCTTTTCAAGTACTTACTTTCCTTAAAATTCATTTTAGCTCTTGTTTTGTACCAAGTTTATGCTTTTAAGAAAAGTGTTGGACTTTGTTGTCTTTTATTTTAATGTATTGTGTCTCAATTTGCACTTAGTGTTCATTGCTTAAGGGCTTCATTATCAAATTCTTACTCATTTCCAATAATGAAAATGATATAAAATTTGGGTTTGCTTTATATGTGCTTATAACTAATTTGTGAGAGAGAGAGAGAGAGAAATTGTATTTAGTGTAGGAACCACTTAAAAAGCTCAATTAAAGACTATTTATTTACCATTTTGGAAAAGTTTTTTTTTTTGAGTTTAATATATTACTAATTGAAAATGTGATTCATTAATTGAACTTTTCTCCTCTCAACTTAAAAAAAATTGTATTCTGTTAGAATTGTAAGACCCAAATTGCTTTTTATCAGGTTCGAGATGAGGCGAGGAGGGTAGCCATCACTTGCTGTCTTGTGTTTGTTGGTATTTTGTCAAGTTTGATGTATGTCATGTTCCTTTTAAGTGTGCAATGTTGCAGGAATAGGGGTTAGGTCCAGTTTCTGCATTTGTTTGAACCCCTGCTCTGTGGTTTTTGGCTGTTTCGACTCGGTCAGTGCACTCTTTTTGTTCCATCTTAAGATTAAGGAGGTTTTGTAACAAGTACACTCCGATGTCACTTTTGTATGAGTTATCCATCTTAATCATGCAAAAACTCTTTTCAAAAAATAAGGAGAATTTCAATCTATATAAAATTTTACTTTTTCTTTTGTGCACTGATAAAGAGTAGGAGATCCGGTTTGAGTAAATTTATTTTTATTTCTATGCAAGTTTCATTTGTAAACAATAAATTTATTCCTATAAATAAATACTAGAGATTAGAGTTTAGAGATAAGTTGATTAATCCCTAAATTACATTTAGACACAAACCTTATTGTACTCTTTTTTGATGTAGTGAACTTTCTCATCTTCTACCTGTGATTTTTTCTCAAAAGGATTTTTCTAGATTACATCTTGATATTCTTTATTTTATGATTGTTTTACATTTATTACATTTTGACAGAATGTATAAATAACAAGGATCATATGTGTTATCATAATTATGATCAAATTGATAGAATATATAAGTAATATGAACCAAATGTGTTATTATATAAATTTACTTAACTGTCATGTCAACAATCCCACTAACGGTTAACCATGGGTGGTTTGATTGAAACTAAATTAAAAGTTTTGTGATCTAATTGAGAAATATTTTAATTCAATAGTCAAAATAAGATTAAACTGATAGTTTAACGACCAAGAATGTAATTTACCCACAAATATTACTATTTACTAATAATCATTATTTAATATTTTTGTCGCATATATAATTGGATATATGTCATGGATTTTAAATATCTAAGAAACTTTTAAATATACAAAAAAAAAGATAAAAGATAAATTGAGCATATAATAATCTGATATAACATTCCAGTTCAAGCAATTGATCATACTTATTAAGGGAGTATTTAGTTCAGTTAAATTCTTTTAATAAAAGATGAATCTTATTGCATTGCGTAAAATTTTAAAAATAAAATCAAAATTGAATGATATAAAATTGAAAAAATTAATTTGATTTTACCTAAATAAAATAAATTTTAAACTTAAATCTGAGCGCAAACACCAAGTTTAAATTCACAAATAAGCTTCATATGATAAATCGGAGCTAAATCGAATTATGAAGTCAAATATCTAAACTGAACCACAAAATAAAAACCCAAATTAAACCACATAATACGATTTGAATCATATTTCAATTTTCTCGATTTCATTCATCAATCCTAACACTTATTATTTTGTTTTTGTTTTGGTACCTAAACTTTATTTTCTCTCAAAATCATACCTAGCGTTTAATTTAGGTTTCATTTTGGTACACACCGTTAAAAACTTAACGGTGATATTACTTTTCACCATATAAGATAATGTTACATCATAATTAAAAAAATGTCACATAAGCAGTTATGTAAGTTTTTAATTGCGATGTACCAAAATGAAACATAAAGTAAATGTTAGGTACGATTTTGAAAAATAATAAAGTTTAAGTACCAAAATAGAATAAAAGTAATAATTTAGGTACTAGACTCGTAGTTTACCCTAAAGTTTAAACATATTTTATCAATAATCTGATATGCACTTCAAATATGCCTACTATCCTTTACAGTAACCTGCATACATGAATTTAGTAAAGTCATGAATCGATGGATATCTTGTTCTAGAAATGTAAGAAACAAAACATGAAATCCTTGAAGGTGAATGAATATTAGTAATCGAAGATGAATTACCTTATTCATGGAAGTGAATATCCAATTAGCAAGAGTTGAAAGGTTGAAGATTCAGGTGGCAAGAAAGTGTATCCGGCCACCGGAGTAGCCAACAAGAGCTGGGATATTTCAGGGCTCCAAACCAAAGAGAAAGCATCAAGGAAGAAGAAGAATATGGTAGTGATGGGTACCATTTTCAAACCATATATATATATATATATATATATATATGATCTAACACACAGATTTATGATCATTAGATTGATAGAAATAGACGATTGAGATTAACTCTTTTTTTTTTTTTGCAATGAATATATTCACATTTCTTACTGTTAATCTCACTCGTCTTACTCATCTACCGGTCCTAAATTACAGCCGTCTATTTTCATTTATTATTGGATAACGTACAAATTTATTAAAAGGTAATTAAATTAAAAAAGTTGGGGTAAGGACTTATTTTCATAATTTTAAATTTGACATCAACCTAAAAAATAATTAAACAAAAAATATTTGAGAGTAAGGCTTAATTTTAATAGTTTCAAAACGATTAGAGATGATTGTATAAGAGGTTCTTAAACTATGACTCTTATTATAAATTGATGTCTAAACTTTAAAATATTCTATATAAACCTTCAAACTATAACGTCCATTCTAAATTGGTCTTTAAATCTTAGAAAATCTAATATTAATCCTCAAACTATCTATAATATTCCATTTTGATCCTTATGTTAACATGGTAACTCTAATAATTAAAAAAATAATTAAATAATTAAGATCATGAGAACTGAACATGTGATTTTTTTTAATGATGCTTCTTTCACTTCGTTGCTTGGAGTGATTGCATGTGTTGCTTATATATTTGGGGAAAATGATGTTTAGTGTTCTTATTGGATTCTTGTCTACAACATTATAAGGAGACAAAAATTATGTTTGGACAACTTGAAACTTAATAATATTGTCTTGCCTAATTTCTCTTGAGATATATCCAATTTAAAATAAAATATCCACTCTTTAAATTATTGGATAAAGTTTTAGTTTTAGTTTTAGTTTTTTTTTTTTTAAATTGTTGGGTCATGAAGGGGATTATTTTGAAGCCCGTTTTTGTTGTTAAAGAGCGAAATTAAGTCAGTCCATTGAAATTGCCTACCCATACCCATGCCATAGAAAATTTATATCTTGGCCCAACTTAACCAATGTTACTCCCGCCCTTTCTTGCGTGCGATTATGGAAAGGGTAATGACAAAGATTGTTAAATATTTATTTTAGGTTTTTTTTTCTAACATTTTATTTTGAGGTAATAAAGTCCATATGAAAATTGTTAGTTAAAAAATAATTAACATAAAAAGGTATTTTTGTCCAAAAACAAAACATTAGGGTCAAAGTACTTCAAAAAAGGGACTAAATTGACTTTTTATTAAACATTAAAGATCTTTTTATCACAAAATAAAACATTTGAGTCAAAATGCTTCAAAAAAATGAGCCAAAATAATTATTTAATCAAACGTTATTGTCTTTTTTGGATCGTCATAAGATTGCTTGTTAACGTGCAATAATACTCATTTTTATGTTAATGTTAATAAAATTTATTTTTCACCATATTTATTTATATCTTCTATTTTTTTCTGAGTTATTTAGTTAGACATTTCAAAACTTTTCATGTATTTATCCTATTTACATCATATAATTTTATGATAAGATTAGGGGAAATAGTCAATGTATGTGATTAATTTGTTTTGTAATTTTTAAGATTATAATTTTTATTTATAGGATAGAACTAATTATTTAAAAATGATAACAAAAAGAAGTTGAATATAGATGTGTAGACACATCATTTCGTCCCGTATATCACACATTTATATATATTATATTAAACATATATTATATATTTTTTATTTTTTATTACATGTTTGTATCAGGTCCAAAGCCATCACAAGTACAAGGCCCAAAGCCCAGATAACAAATATTAAACAGCAGCCCAAACACAAGTGGGGACCCGTAACCCGAATCGATTAGGGTTTTGAAACTCTAACCCTTCCTTTCATTCCAGCCGCTATTCACCCATCACCTCAAGTGTCGTCGCAGACTCCTCACGCCTCACGCAACCAATGACCGCTTTTCCCGGTGATGTGTGGAACACCAACAAAACCACCAACACACAACAAACAGTGGTTTATTCCAAGTAGAACTCAAGGAAATCGGAGCTAAAAATAGCATATTCTAGAGTATGAATAAGCATGTAAACACTCAGAAAAATCACACACGAAATACACAAGTAATTTGTAAACATTTTGAAAGAAATAGAAGGTAAAAGACTCACCTTTTTCGATTTTAGGCTTGCATGTATGCTTTGAGTTTGCTTTCTTTTTATTTTGAGTCGGAAAAACAAAAGAAAGGGGGGTTTTGCCGAGGATCGGGGGAGGGGTTTTCGAAAGATCTTCTCTAGATCTAGTCTGTAATATCCCGAAATCCGAGTCAGTGACTAAAATGATATTTTTTGAAATTTAGGGATCAATTTAGGAAAAATTTAAAAATTTAAGGACTTAAATAGGAATATTTCAGTATTGGATTAAATTGTAATTATGGAATTAGTGAAGGGCATTATGGTAATTTTAGCTTAAAATATATTTTCCCCCATAATAAGAGTTAAACACGTGGGTTTTGGATAATTATCTAGAAACTCTTTTTCTTCTTGCTTTCTTCTTCCCGTATGCTCAAGCTCAAGTCTCGAAGGTGAGTTCTAATTTAGATGGTTAATTCTTGAATTTTTAAGTTGGGTTTTATTCTTTGAGTG